AGTATACTGATATGGCTACAATTACCTTAAAGATGGGGAGACAGAGAGAGATAGATGAACCCTAGTGCCACAACATGAGGTCCCTATGCCTCTATTATTTTGTTTAGACCAGGGGTAGGCAAACTCCGGCCCTTCAGCTGTGGTGCAACTACAAATCCCAGCAGGTATTGCAAGATTGAGTCACAGACATGACTCCCAGACACAGACAGATGCATGATGGGATTTTGCCATTTTCCCACAGCTGGAGGGCTGGAGTTTGCTTACACCCCATCCCTGTCAGTGGGTAAAAACATCCTTAATGTCAGTTCTCTGCTACAGAAACGCTATTATAATCACCTCTCTGACAGTCTGCTTCAATTTGAACATGAGAGAGAGAAGCTGATTGGCTGCAGTGCAGATCTGCTCCAGTCTTGATAAATTCCCCCCTCTGTATATATCTAACAAATAAATACATACGTACATCTACTACAGTATTCAGCCTCATTCATGTTATAAATGTGCTAGCTGCGGCAAGAATCCAGTAGATTCTTGTGGCTGGATAGTTGCGGCCGCTGAGCCTGTACAAAGCAATGAAAGGCCGACAGTGGTCACAGCTGTCCGCCGCCATTCATATGTATCCACGCATCCAGTGGGTTACCTGTGGCTGGGGACAGGTGATCAGCCCTGGGGGCAATCCATGTGTGATTACATCCGAATGCTGGTGAGCAACTGCGGCCAGCTGTGCCTGCTGTCAGCCTGTCATTGCTTTATCAGCGGCCACAACTAGCCACATCCACCTGTGAATCCAATCGCAGGAGTCCTCTGGGTTCTTGCTGCAGCTGGCACGGTTTGCCGAGAGGCCATTTTTATTGCTATATTTTCCAACACATGGGTGATGATAGAGCATAGAATGCATTATGAATCTATTCTTCTACCTCATCAGACACTCGCTATGCAGAACGATATACATTACAAACAGGATGGTATTTCTGCACAGGGACTGTACGTCTAACGCACGGCGATATCAATATTAATAAAACCGCTATATATACACACACCTCCTACTTGCAGTAGAACTCAAGCATTAAGGTGTCTTGTTGTCCTAGCAACCAGATTCTCCCACTCATAATCCCAGTGCTGAATGGGGGAATTAAATGAGGATACGGAGTTATCAGCAGATTCTCCCACTCATAATCCCAGTGCTGAATGGGGGAATGAAATGAGGATTCCGAGGAGTTATCAGCAGATTCTCCCACTCATAATCCCAGTATTGAATGGGGGAATTAAATGAGGATACTGAGGAGTTATCAGCAGATTCTCCCACTCATAATCCCAGTGCTGAATGGGGGAATGAAATGAGGATTCCGAGGAGTTATCAGCAGATTCTCCCACTCATAATGCCAGTGCTGAATGGGGGAATGAAATGAGGATTCGGAGGAGTTATCAGCAGATTCTCCCACTCATAATCCCAGTGCTGAATGGGGGAATTAAATGAGGATACTGAGGAGTTATCAGCAGATTCTCCCACTCATAATCCCAGTGCTGAATGGGGGAATGAAATGAGGATTCCGGGGAGTTATCAGCACAACTTGATATTCCTTCTCTTGTGTAATAATCGTAATTTCCGTACTCCACATAATATAACAAAGTCCGCTACTCTGCATTCCGGTGCCAAAATACCGGCCCCTCCTTTACCTGCCACAGAGACAGAGGCTCAGCAATACAACTCTACAGATCAAACATTATACAATGTTACTCTGCATACAATAATACACATAATACTATCACTAAAGGTGTAACAAAGGAACTGTGTGCCAAGCAGCCTTCATGTTCTCATGCACTCGCTCTCCTCCAGACCTACTCAGTTCCCAGTTTAAGGTCTCAAAATTCCTTATGCCGAACTGTGCCCAGACTTAGAAAACACTGAAGCCACAGGATCAGCATGACACACAGGGAATTAGCATTCGCAAAGGAGAGGTCAGCAAAAGGTAGATTTTTGTCATGATAAGGAATGTTTAAAAGAGCAGCATACACACAATATACCAGCATACCTATCCTGACAGTTATCAGGGTATGTACTACTTGAGTATACACATCCTCACAGCAATAGGGGGCATGTACCACTAGAGTATACACATCCTCATAATATGTGGTATGTACTTTTGGAGTATACACATCCTCATAATATGTGGTATGTACTTTTGGAGTATACACATCCTCATAATATGTGGTATGTACTTTTGGAGTATACACATCCTCACAGTGATAGATAATATGCACACATTATCAGTGATAAGTTACATGTACAACAGCAGTGATCATTGCTATGTACTATAGCAGTATACACACAGTTATCATTGCTATGTACTATAGCAGAATACACACAGTGATCATTGCTATGTACTATAGCAGAATACACACAGTGATCATTGCTATGTACTATATTATTATTATTATACAGGATTTATATAGCGCCAATAGTTTGCACAGCGCTTTACAGGAGTATACACACAGTGATCATTGCTATGTACTATAGCAGTATACACACAGTGATCATTGCTATATACTATAGCAGTGTACACACAATAGGGTAGGGCACTTAAAGGGTGTATTTTGCGCAACTTCCCAAAGTTCAGCTTTAAAACTACACAAGTCTTTTATATAACATGCTATGGGGACGCCTTACACGAGGCAATATCACGATATGATGTTTGTTTACAAGCAGTGGCTTCTGTATGTAAACACACCGGTGATGTCACTGTCCAAATATGGTCATGACCATATTAGGTCAATGGCACCAACCAGGAGCCCAGGCCGGTGAGTTTACATACAGAAGCTGGCTGTGATCTGCCATTTGCAGGGGAAGCAATGATGAGTGAACACCCACCGTGCTGGAAAAAATGTACCCCAATGCAAGCGCATCGTCAGGCACTGTGGATGCGTGTCCATCACGTCCTCCGGCACTGTGGATGCGTGTCCATCACGTCCTCCGGCACTGTGGATGCGTGTCCATCACGTCCTCCGGCACTGTGGATGCGTGTCCATCACGTCCTCCGGCACTGTGGATGCGTGTCCATCACGTCCTCCGGCACTGTGGATGCGTGTCCATCACGTCCTCCGGCACTGTGGATGCGTGTCCATCACGTCCTCCGGCACTGTGGATGCGTGTCCATCACGTCCTCCGGCACTGTGGATGCGTGTCCATCACGTCCTCCGGCACTGTGGATGCGTGTCCATCACGTCCTCCGGCACTGTGGATGCGTGTCCATCACGTCCTCCGGCACTGTGGATGCGTGTCCATCACGTCCTCCGGCACTGTGGATGCGTGTCCATCACGTCCTCCGGCACTGTACATGCAAGTCCATCACGTCCTCCGGCACTGTAGATGCGTGTCCATCGCGTCCTCCGGCACTGTAGATGCGTGTCCATCATTACAGCCGGCTGCACCAGACAATGGTCACCTGCCATTACTCCCATCACAAATGACAGAGTCCCAGCCCACTTCTGTATGTAAATGATGTCACCCAGAATTCCCTGGCTGGTCTGTTTACAAACACCAACCAGCTGGGGGTCTGTCATTGTGTATACTCATCCTGACAGTGATAGGGGATATGTACTATAGGAGTATACACATTCTCACAGTGATAGAAGATATGTACTATAAGAATATACACACGTGATAGGGGATATGTATGGGAGTCCATACACGCAGTGATATGTCCTATGGCAGTGTATACGTCCTATGGCAGTGTATACACACAGCCATATGTACTATAAGAGTGTATACAAACACCCAGTGATCGGAGATACGTACTATAAGAGTGTGTATACACACACACACACACACACACACACACACACAGTGATCAGTGCCATAGCAGTGTATACACATACAGTGATCGGTGCCATAGCAGTGTATACACATACAGTGATCGGTGCCATAGCAGTGTATACACACACACAGTGATCGGTACCATAGCAGTGTATACACACACAGTGATCGGTACCATAGCAGTGTATACATACACACAGTGATCGGTACCATAGCAGTGTATACATACACACAGTGATCGGTACCATAGCAGTGTATACACACACACACAGTGATCGGTACCATAGCAGTGTATACACACACACAGTGATCGTTACCATAGCAGTGTATACATACACACACACAGTGATCGGTACCATAGCAGCGTATACACACACACAGTGATCAGTGCCATAGCAGTGTATACATACACACACACAGTGATCGGTACCATAGCAGTGTATACACACACACACAGTGATCGGCACTAAAGCAGCGTATACACACACACACAGTGATCAGTACCATAGCAGTGTATACATACACACACACACACACACACACACACACACACACAGTGATCAGTACCATAGCAGTGTGCATACACACACACACACACACACAACACACAGTGATCGGTACCATAGCAGTGTATACATACACACAGTGATCGGTACCATAGCAGTGTATACACACACACAGTGATCGGTACCATAGCAGTGTATACACACACACACAGTGATCGGTACCATAGCAGTGTATACACACACACAGTGATCGTTACCATAGCAGTGTATACATACACACACACAGTGATCGGTACCATAGCAGCGTATACACACACACAGTGATCAGTGCCATAGCAGTGTATACATACACACACACAGTGATCGGTACCATAGCAGTGTATACACACACACACAGTGATCGGCACTAAAGCAGCGTATACACACACACACAGTGATCAGTACCATAGCAGTGTATACATACACACACACACACACACACACACACACACACACAGTGATCAGTACCATAGCAGTGTGCATACACACACACACACACACACACACACACACACAGTGATCAGTACCATAGCAGTGTATACACACACAGTGATCAGTATTATAGCAGTGTATACACACACAGTGATCAGTACTATAGCAGTGTATACTCACACATATATACTATGCCTGTCAGTGACACTCACCGTGCTGGGTGAAGATATTGAAGCCGGCGGTGTCAGGGTTGCTCCTCCCGGTCGCCTCTCAAAGCGACAGCAGCCGCCCAGAGCGCCCCCTGTCACTAGCGAGGAATGCCCAGAGCGCCCTCTCTCCATGGAGCTGGGTAGCCCTCCACAAACATGGCGGTGTAAGAGCTTCCTGTGCACTTCCAGAAACCCCATATGCCACCTAGTGTCCACTTTGAGATATTACATCCCAGGGCTCAATTATTAGTACGCCTGCTATTTCTATGGACGTCATACCATCCTTGATGACAGAACAGTAACTAGAAACTTAAGGGGCCCGGTGCAAGAAACCATGAAGGGCCCCCACCCAACCCCCCACCGCCATGGAAAGGCACTATAAACAGGCACCGTGTGGTTAGCAGGAAGGCTGCCAAGGTCCCCAGCAAGCGCAGATGTTCCCGGAGTCTCCGGCTATAAGATAGCGGCTCCCGGACACCCAGGAGAGAAAGATTTTCTCCCGGAAAGGTTTACTCTGCTTTATCTAGCAGAGTAAACCATTCCCTGCTATCTGTTTTTTTTTCTTTTTGTGATATCAGGGCCGCTGTCAGTCAGAAAAAAAAGACGGCAAAGGAATGAATGGCTAGATTGCTATTGGCTATTTCAATTTACATAGTATTTGAGGTTGAATAAAGACATTAGTCCATCAAGTCCAACCTATTAGGATCTCATTCTAGGAGTACCCGTACCAGCTCCCATTGCGATAGCCAATAGCAGACTAGCTATTGCACTCGCCCACTGCTGCTGTCAATCAGTAGAGATGGACCTGAAGCCCTTCATGAGGTCCTCCTCTACTGACTGACAGCAGCAGAGGGCGCGTGCAATAGCTAATCTGCTATTGCAAATTGAAATAGCCAATAGCAATCTAGCTATTCATTCCTATGCCTTCTTTGCTATCTGCCATCATTTCAGGGAGGTGCTCTCTTCCTTGTTGTTGCACACCCCCCCCCTCCCTCCTCATTTAGGTTGCAATCGCTGAGTTTAAATATTTAGTGCCAATATCTGCGTTTAGTACCGGGGCATTTTTATGAGTACTCGTGAAAATGCCCGGTATTGGCACTGATGCATCCCTACTTAATATAATATATTGCTGGGACTTGTGGTCCTGCATAGTTGGGACTATTCTGTATTGCTGTATAATGAATATACAGCAATGCAGAATACCTCCAGCTACGCAGGACCACAAGTCCCAGCAATACATAGTAATGATAATTGAATACCACCAGCTTCTCCCCCCCCCCGCCCCCCCCTTTCTGGTCCAGCCTTTACCCACAGCAAACTCACCTGACTCCTGCAGCACCTTCCTTGTCACGGCGGCTAGGGGGCGGGACTAAGAGGTGGAGAGGGTCCTCTCCCACACAGCAGAATGTACTGCCTGCAACATATTCTGCTGGACAAGGGACAGATCAGTGCACAGCCTCTCCAGCCCTGCACAGCCTCACATACATGCTATGGGGCTATGGGGGGCCCTTCTTCCTCTCTGGGCCCCGCCCCCAACAGGTGGAATGCCAGGGCCTGGTCACAATTGCGACCGCTTCGACCCTGCTAGTTCCGCCAGTACTGGATGACCTCACTTTTATTTAATTTCCTCCTAACTTGTTCCTCTTCTGGAGCCAAATCCCTAACTTCTTCTTTCTTCCCAACGTGTTCCCCCTTCGGGTATGAAGTATTGACCTCTATAAAAATGTAATATTTAAAGCTGATGTGTATTCTGCTTTTT